TTACGCTTTAAAGGACCCTTTTAACGCCGCTTCTCGAAGCGAAAAATAGATCATTAAAACTACCACGGAACAGGCAAAGCACCAGAACTTTTCCTGACGACGGCAGCAGCCCGGGATGCCACCTGTGGACATCACCCACTGCTTCCAGCCACCCCGGAGAGTTGCCCTGGAGGAAGGACACCGGGGCAGAGCACACGGGCGGCCCCCCCGCTCCGCAGCACGCCGGGTGCGGGCCGAGGCTCGCCGGGGCGGACACGGCACAACCCCGGCCCGCGGCTCCCGCGGAGGGCAGCGCCGGGAGCTCCTCCTCCGCCATCCCCGCAGCAGGTCAGCACGGGCCCGCGGGGACTCCGCGCCACCCGCCGCTGCCTGCCCCCGCCGCCGGGCGGACCATGCGGAGGGTCGGGCTCCCCCCGCCCCATCCCCCGGGGCCGCCCCCGCCGCCGCACGGCGCAGCGGCAGCGCAGCGCGGAACGCACGGACCGGCACCGACCCCCCCGGCGCGGGGCTCCCGCCGGCCGCGCCCGCTGCCCGGCGCCGCGGGCAACTCGCAGGCAAGTTTCCAGGGAACTTTCCTTTCCTTCCAGGAGCGCCTCGGGGCCGGTGCGGGGGGCAGCGGCAGGCGCGGGGCTGCGGCGGGAGGCAGAGCCCGCCCGGGGCGGGGAGAGGAACGGGGGAGGGGGTCCCCGGGATCCCGCCCTACCCGCCTGGAGGGGTGTGCGGGGCGGGGAGGAGGCGGGGGGGGTCGTGCGAGTCCGGGCACGGGTGGTAGCAACAGGTTTTCTTCCGCAGCAGGGATGGACGAGAGGGACTGTCCCCCCGCGCCGCCATCCCCTCCCCAGCCCCGGCTGCCCGTGCTGCCGGCAGCGGGAGGCGCTCGGCCGGTGGCGGGACCGCTCGGCTGATTCCCGGCGTTCTGCTGTCCTGTCGCGAAGGAGGCTGACGGCGGTCAAGGCTGCTCCATCGGGCTCGGTTTGTGATGCTCGGTCTTCCCCTTCCCGGCTCTCCCTCTGCCCGAGTCCTGGGTCTGCACAGTGCAGCGTGGAGGCTTGTGTTTCTGATTTCTTCTCTGCCTGATCTGAAGGTCCTTTATAGCTTTAATTTTAAAATGATTGGGATGTCTTTTACATTGATCTAATTACTGACTTCTGTTCGTTGGCCACTGGCACATCAAGTTAACTGTTCTTGATAGGCAGTGTATTTCTGGTGGATTTTTTTTCATGGGAAAAGACTTGGGGGGGGGGGGGGGAAGGACCGACACGCATACAATAACTCTCCCATGACTACGTATCTTCATTTCAGTGGCAAAATATGTATCTATATAAATCAATGACAAATCCTTTACTGTTTTTCAAAAGATGTTTAAGAGATTGTTTTGAATATGACTTATTAAAATCTGTTGACATCAGTATACTTCACAGCAGGATAATAACTACAGTTGTTAGTTCTGATGCATTTCAGAACATCTTCCTGGGGATGTAAGTTATCTGCAAAGTTCTATCACTTCTGATTGTTATCGGTAGAATTAGGCTTAGCTTTATAAGACCAAACATTGAGTAATGTTTGTCATAATTTAGTTTGTAGGTTGTCGTAAGATGCCAAAAAGCAGAACACTGTCCAGCTCAGGGAGAGCAATGTATAGATATGAGCATCTCTTTTCAGACGATCTGTTTTCAGGATGATTTTGTTTGATATTATATATTAACCTTTACAAGTTTTACTTTGATTTGTCTGGAAGCTCACTTTGCAAGCAGAGCTGAAGTTTGAGATCTGTTCTTACTACGTGAAGAGCTGCATGCCTGTAGCTTCAAGTATTTCAGGAGGGTATCCTGACAGTGTTGATACTGTATGGAAATAATCTGTCAGAAGATAGCTGAATTTAACACTGCTTGAGAAAACTGCTTATTTTATCTAAGGGAAGAATAGGGGAAGGATCATTAAACTGTAGAGCAGTCTCTGACAGAATTCTTTCCCAAAAATCACTGTTTTCATAGTCAGCCTGCACTGAAATCTGAAAGTTGTTTGGGTTTTTTTAAACTTAATTTACAAATGGTAAAAAGCCTCAGAGACAAGTCCCAGGCACTGGGATTGATAGAAGCGTCTAGGGGGGAGTTCTGCATCTTCCTTGCACGCTTGTTATCATCCAGGCGCAACTTTGTCTTGTCTGCATCACAGAGCAGTATCAGGACTCTTTGCAGGAGCTCTGATTACATCAGAGATGCACTGCAGAATTCAAAATACTGCAGAGGACACTGGGAGGGGAAATGATTCTTGCAGTGGAATTTTAATCTTACTCATGATTTCTGTCTCTTTCCTGCAGAAGGGCGTCTTTAATAATTCTTTCCCCATTGTCTGGCACCCTCCCTACATTTCGGCCGAGAGTAAGGGCAGTAGAGATTCAAAGACGTTGTATCTCGCTTCACATGCACACCACACCGCTTAACGTCACCAAGAGCCTGTGCTATGGGCCAGTTATTCTGTATTACTGTAGTTTCTAGAAGCCAGAACAACGATCAGGATTGTATACTGTAGTAAGAGACAGTTCTTGCCCCAGTAAGCTTACAAACAAAATAGGAATGATGCTCAGAGAGAAGCAATTCGCCCAAGATGAAAACACATTATCAGCAGGGTAGTTGGAATGATGAACTGGGCTTCTCTAACTCCCAGGCATCCAAAGGGCAGAATGCTATCTCAGCCAAGGAGGGATTTTACCACTGGGCCTTACTGAAGCAGAGCAGTTTTATCTGATGATTTTACTGCTACAGCGTATCCTTAGAGTTCATCTTGTTTAATATTGAGGAAAATTGCTGCTATACAATAATGTGTTTTTCTGACCTTATATGCTGTATGTTGTGTTTAATTCTTAATGCATTTCTTACAGCCATCTCCAATGCCATCAGTCTGCCATGTATGACTAAAACAGTTTGCTCGGTTTTTAAGCTCAATAGCAAGAAAGACCCTTCCATTAATTAGATCTCTCCCATCTTAAAGCAGTGTCGTAGAAGCTCCTTCCAGAGGAAAACAAGAAACATACAGAGAAGTGTATGGCTTTGTTTTCCTCGTTCTTCCATTCCTTTGAGTCAGGCCATCTTTTCTGTTGTCCTTTATTGCCTCCTATTCTTCCCCCTTAGATGTGATGCTATGTGTATCTGAGGCAAAGAACACGTAAATAACACATGTGTGGCATCAAATACTATAGCTGCCTACGTGGGATGTGTGGGCTTGCCAGTTCTCATTATGGAGAAAGAAGGAGCCACCTTTTATAACTGCAGTCATTCAGTGTGTTACGTAGGGGATTCATTTGTCCAACTTATTGTCTTGCACAGGTTGAAAAGCTGGAAATGAAGAGAGAAATTCTTGTTGCTTTGCTCTTATTTCACAGGTGATGCCTCAGGGTTACAGCGTGTGTCTGACACACGCCGAACATTTACATTCCCCTCTCCCCATTTCTTCCCATTGTGTCAACAATGGATGCAGTGGGAGATCAGACCAGTGACAGAGATGAACTGCCTCCTCATTTTTCCTGGCTGAGTTTCAGAAGATTAGTTGTTGCTAACCAACATCATCTGGTATTACAGAAGGGAAAACAGTTAACAGCTCCCATTTATCCATAGTCTTACATCAGTCATAATCTTTATTCTCTTTGGGCCAGCCCTGCATTAAGCATAGGTTAGGCAGAGGGGAAACCACAGCAGTTGCTCTGAGAAAAGGAGCCCTACACAAATATATATCAGGTAGTCCTGTTTACCCATACCAAAACTATAGCTTGAACTCCCAGTGGCATTACTTCTACTTGGGAATGCTTTAACAGAAGATCAGCTCTGAGGTCATTAGGAGTGCTTCATGTGACAGGACTGTATGTCAGTGTAATTTCAATTTCAACTGTTCCGTATTTCCTCTGCTCTAGCTAGTACTATCTGCTCCAGTTATCACTCTCCTCAGATCCCTTCATTTCTCTGAGTCCTGCAGCTTTTCCAGTGGGCAATGGCAGAGTGCCATCATCTGTCATGAAGCTCTGCTGATAATCCCAGCACTGGCTAGAATTTCCTAAAGTGTGACTTTAAAATACAATTATGTTATGTGTTAATGTGCCTTCCAAAAAAAAAAAAAGGAAGGACTTTCCGGTGAGCAGGCCTTTGCTCAGGCTCTCTCAGGGCAAGAGACAAACCAGAATTGATTGGAAGTGTATTTAGGTGCAGGCTGTCATTGTTTGCATTCACCATTACTTCCAGAGGAGCTTCAGAACTGCCCCTCCCCTGCCGCAGGGATTTCCAGAGTCATAATTCTGGAGCAAAGACAGAGCAACTCACCAATACAAGCAAGTAGACAATGACAAGGCACTGAAAGGTGAACGCAGTTAAGATTTTGGCATGGAGAACAGGTTCCTTGCTAACTAGCTGTCCTCAAGTCACTAGTGATAGTAATGAAGAGATCCCACTTTGTGACAGAAGCAAGATGACAAAGGTTACCTCTTTGCTTACCTCAGGCCAGAAAATAGTACCACAGCTCTTGGAAGATCTGAATCATGCCTTGTCCATTCTTGCATATTGTTGTAGGTTTTCTTCATCCACATGCCCTAAAGGTAAGTAAATTAACAATTTCTTTTTTGTACTAAAGAGGATTACAGGTGAGGAATCAGGAAATACCACTCCATCCAAAGCTCACCCAGGGCCACATATTTGTAGCAGTACGTAAAGACCTGCTTTTTTCAGTGTATTCCATCTGGGAAGTTCAGGAGCAGAACTGAGATTGTACTTTATTGAAAGCAGACTTGTAAGTCCCATTGCATCAAGGAAAGCCTGTTGCTATTAAACTGAAGTGAAGCTATCTTTTGAATACTTTGCTGTTGTGTATTCATGGTTTTTTTTTCTATAATAGGTATGTAACACTATTGATGTCATTTATAAACCCCAGCTTCTGCAAACGACAGTTCTGTGTGTAAGGAGGTCACCCTAGCAGGGGCACATATCCCCAGGGTGCATATCAAAGGGGAGGTAAGTACAGCCAGGAAAAGGACAAAACTATGTATTGCTACTGAAGCCAGGCGAGTGTAGTATTTATTACTGGCCTGTGAACTCAAGGCTAGACAGTCAGAATACTTGTGCATAATTAATGTATATTTAATGTACAGTCTACTTAAAGAAATATTCTTACCAAATGAAAGTCAGCAGCTCCACGTATTAAGCTGGAGATGACTGCACAGGTGGAAGAGCGAGCAGCAGCACTGTGTGTGAGCAGACTTTCTGTCTGACTTTTAAAACACAGTGAGCTAGGCAGGCAAAAAGTTTAACATTTCCAGGACCTGCTTTTTATACCCATTTGAACCCTGTGGTCACTTCTGAGTGGTTACACTTAGTGTTGTGTGAGCAGAATTTGAATGTGATTTTCAAATTCATGGTGAGAATTTTCTGGTTCCCTATAATCCGAGGTGAAGGCACTCACCCTGGCTCTCAGCCACAGTTTAATCCATTGTAAGGATTATTATATATATGCCCTGCATCACTTACAACCAAAACAATATTCCAATGGCTATGTAGAAATCATGTATTCCTTTGCAATCTTTTGTAAATGAGGCCATAAAAAAGGAGTTGCCATGTCATTAAAAGTGTATAAACTGTACACACACATTTTATGTGATTATCAATGTAAGGGGGGTCTTTTTCCAAAAATTGTTTCCATATGGCCTTTTAGAAGTAAATCTTATACTAACTGTTTTTTTGAAGTGTGTATTTACTGAATTACAATATAATCGACTTCTGCTTGTTTCTATATACTTCATGGTATTAAAATACTTAAGATTTTATGTGTAATACTTAAATAAAAAGATACAATTTCCTTTTCTACAAAACAAAATTGAATTCTATGTTCTTATGTGATATTGTCATAATTTTTATACTTCCATTCTGAACCAGGAATATCCTGCCACATGCTGAGATTATTCCTGGTTTCCTTCTATATCCACTGGGAACTTAGACCTCTGTATCTGAGACAGGAGAAGCCACCCAGTGTGACACATATGCTGAGCAGAGCTCCTGAACGAGTCAACAGCCCTTGACAGAGTCAGTTCTACCCAGCTGGACAAATCCAGCCTCACCACAAAGGTCTTCTAACCATACTCAGCCACTGCTATTTTGTTTCCAATTGTTTTTATCAACTATCAATGTTTTTGAGCTCTAATCACTGCATTTGTTTCAAACTTGAAATCAACCTTTTATTCACTTACCCCATATATCTGGTCTTTTTTGTTCCAGAAGACACTTGCAGAAGTAGCCAAGTGATGTGAAGTTATCTTCCAAGATGACTGTTCTACCTGGAGAAAATTCCGACTATGACTATAGTGCCCTGAGCTGCACCTCAGATACTTCCTTCCACCACACATTCTTTCCAGAAACAGAAACACTTAAGGGAGTCTTTTACCAAAGAGCCAAGCTAATTCACCCTCAAGAGGATCTCCTGAAAGGCTTTCACCCTGATGATCGGAAGCATCATATTATTATAAACGTAGGGGGCATTAAGTATTTGCTCCCTTGGACCACGCTTGATGAATTCCCATTGACACGTCTGGGACAACTGAAGTTCTGTACTAATTTTGATGACATTCTAAACATCTGTGATGATTACGATGTGACATGTAATGAATTCTTTTTCGACCGCAACCCAGGGGCATTCAGGACAATCCTGACCTTTTTGCGGGTCGGAAAACTTCGTCTCTTGCGTGAGATGTGTGCACTGTCTTTCCAAGAGGAGCTGCTCTACTGGGGAATTGAGGAAGACAACTTGGACTGGTGTTGTAAGAGGAGATACCTGCAAAAAATGGAGGAGCTTACAGAAATAAATGAACGGGAGGATGACCTCATAGAAAATGAAACAGGTGAAACAGTAGAGGAGACAAGAATTGGCTTGTGCATGAAAAAGCTGCAAGACATGGTGGAAAGACCCCAGTCTGGCCTCCCTGGAAAGGTGTTTGCTTGTTTGTCTGTTTTATTTGTAACTATCACAGCAGTGAACTTATCCATCAGCACCATGCCTGACCTGAGGGAGGAGGAGGAAAAGGTAAGTTAGCTTTTCAGGATGGAAAATGGTATGTGCTGGAAAGAGCAGAACAAGTACAAGGTCTGATGGTTCTGACTTCCATGCGGATTTTGCAGCTGTCTTTTGGGGGGGGGGATAACACAAAGAATATTTGAAATCTGACGTGACTCTTTTCAATTCAATTACTCGTAAGAGAATTAATCGTACCAAGTTTTATGTCCAAAGAACATTTTGTTAGTGTGCACTCTTCTGTACAACTGCATTATTACCTTGTTTAGCTTTGTGTTTGCTGTTTAGAAAGCCTGAAGTTACTGAGCAATATCGTCTGTGGAATATATAGTTCCTTTCTAAGGTTTGCATTTAACTTGTTCTATTTTGTTAGTGTGTTTCCCCATAGCAACAGCTTCAATTCTTTTAATATTTTGGGTTTAAAAAAAAAAACAACACAGAAACCTCTCTTCCTGTCACTGCACCAAGTAAAATAGTTATTATCCAGTGCCGATTACAAACTCCTCCTCTTTCCTGCAGGGTGAGTGTTCCCAGATGTGCTACAATATTTTCATTGTGGAGTCTGTGTGTGTGGCATGGTTTTCCCTGGAGTTCCTGCTAAGATTCATCCAGGCAAAGAGCAAGTTTGCATTTCTGCGGAGACCATTAACCCTGATCGACATAATAGCCATTCTGCCATACTACATCACTTTGCTAGTAGACACCACGTCAGTGGGCTATAAAAAGCCCAGCTCTGGGAGCATCTACCTGGACAAAGTAGGTCTGGTCCTCCGTATTCTCCGTGCCTTGAGGATTCTGTACGTCATGCGGCTGGCCAGGCACTCCCTGGGGCTGCAGACACTGGGGCTGACAGCTCGCAGGTGTACCCGTGAATTCGGGCTCTTGCTGCTCTTCCTCTGTGTGGCCATTGCACTGTTTGCACCACTCCTCTATGTCATTGAGAATGAGATGGCGAACTCGCAGGAGTTTACCAGCATCCCCGCGTGCTACTGGTGGGCTGTCATCACCATGACCACGGTAGGCTATGGAGATATGGTTCCCAGAAGCATTCCTGGCCAAGTGGTGGCCCTCAGCAGCATACTGAGTGGCATCCTCCTCATGGCATTTCCAGTCACCTCCATCTTCCACACGTTTTCACGCTCCTACATTGAGCTAAAGCAAGAACAGGAAAGAATAATGTACAGGAGAGCACAGTTCTTATTAAAAACAAAGTCTCAGATAAGTAATGCATCACAAGGGAGTGATATTTTATTCCCCAGTGTCTCTTCTGAGACCAGGGACAATGAATGAAATTTAGGTTACTGTTTCTCCTGACGTCAAGTGATGTTTTGTTGTATCAGATTCCATCTTTTAATTTGCTTCGGAAGCATTTTGCAAAGGTAACCCTCATATTAAAATAAGAAAAAGAGTTATTAATCAGGAACTGAGAAGTCTATTATTATGCTGTTTCTAGTCCCCCCTCCAGTATAATATATAGGATCTTTCACTGAGATCATACAGTGGGATTTTAGGAATTAAAAGTCTCTGACAAAAATAGAACACCATATAATAATGCACTTGTCAGGCTGTTTTCCCATTTGTAATACATATTTTTCCAACCGAATCACGATGTATATAATCATTAAACAGGCTGCCATTTCTCTTGTTCTTCTTGTATATAAATAATGTAAATACAACAAAATTGATGGTGAAAAATCTCTCCCAGTAAAACGCCTTAGAGCATAATGGAAATATCCATAGATGTTTAATCCCATTGTGCTCTTAAAAAAAACATCAAGTGAGATTTGTAATTCACAACAGCAACTGTGTGTTTCTCTGCAAGTCAGCCCTAAACATACCAGAAGAATCGAGCTGTTTGTGTCATAATCTTGCTCAAGATGTAAATACTTATAGCTCACCAGCGACAAAATTTAACTGAAGCTACAGTGCTGACCTATGTCATTGAATGCAGTAATCCCAGGAACAAAGTCTTTGAGTTTTATAGCATTTAATATTATTACTAAGAGGTGACTAGCTGCAGATCAAATGAAATATGCATGATGAGATGCCAGTCATTCCCTACCATCTGTTTCCATGTTTTTACTTTACCTCAGATATGAAACAGAATTAAAAGAGGCCTGTTTCCAGGGGACACCCTACCATTACTTGGCAAATCGAAGCTTCGGCTACCCATTCACATTCAGCATTTGGTTCTTTAGAAGGAGCAGAAAATATATGGTCGTGGGAAGTTGCCAATGGTGAAGAAAAGAAAATATCATTTGAGTCATGGAGTGGGGGGTACTGACAGCTTTATACTTTACTGTCCTCAATCAGGAGGGACTTAAGACTTACTTAATCATACGTTTGCCATCATGACACACATCATAGGATTGGAGAAAATTTTAAATAGGATATGAAATAGCAGTTAAGGTCCCAAAACACACCCATGTATATTCTTCATCCATGTGTGTGTCTTGGTCTAGGTCCTGCTGAAGTCAGTGGGAGCACAATGGGTCAGTGAAACACTGAGGTTTGGCACAGGTTTCTGTGGAGATTAATGACAGAACTCCCATTTATTTTAGAGGGAATGAGACCAGTTTGCACAACAGTTCAGGAGGAAAACTCCAGAGATTAAAAAAACCCCAACAACCTATTTGTTTGATTTCATGTGTGCTTAGAGGTAAAGAAAAGCTAATCTCAAGGGTTTCACCTTCCCTCCTCCCCTCCTTTTTAGTACTTATTAACAGTTATGAGCCAAGGAAATTCAGAAGTTCCCATCACATTCACCAATGCTTCTCTAGATTCATTTCCAGAAATACTATTACTTGTTGGCATTTCTGGAGCAGGTTGCTCGAAATGCCAGAATACACAATGGGTTTGTGATTTGAATGAAGGCCAAGGACACAAACATTGTCCTTTCAATAAGGTAGAGTTAGTTCCTCAACCGTTGCTGTTTGGCCAAGCCCATGCTACATTGGTTTTCTTTTCAACTGTCTTTAAAATACCATTTGAAGGTGTTCTGATATACGTGCTCTTGAAGAATAATTCCAGAACATTAAAAAAGGCACTTTACAAGTAATGAGGGCTCTAGCATTCTTCAGCCTGCAGTAGGTAAATATGCGCATGGAGCATTTCTGCAGAAGTCTAAACTCTTGGCAGTTAATTATGTGGCAGAACTACAAATGTAACCAGCTTTTCACTCTTGTTCTTCTAATTAGAGTTGGACAAAAAACAGAGACATCGTGACAAAAAAGGGACACATTTTCCATCCAAAATGCACTTAATTTCAAAACTTCGATCATCTGTAGCATTGGCTTCAACACAAGTGCTATACATCCTTCTACCTTTGTGTCAGCAGTCGTTATAAAAAGAACTGGTAATTAGATTAGTCCTGTGAGCAACAGTTGCTTATCTAAGAATGTGTTTGACAGGCTGAGCCATAAATAAGAAGCTGTAAATGAATACAAGGAGAAATCAAGAATTACCAAATAAAACCTAAGCTTATTTCCATGTTATGCTAGCTAATAAATCCAGAAGGTCCATCCATTCTCTCAGTGTCTTTCCATTAAGTTAATGCTCATTTATTTCATGTATGACTTTATTTTTTTATCCCAAATTATCGCTTGATTCTAAAGTCCTTGTCTGGCAACAAAAAAATATCACCCTGCAGTTGGGTTGAAGTTGGTTGAGCAAACCTGTGAAAGCATCTTGCCTGTTCTGCCTAAGCCAGGAACAAGTTAACTGCCCAGGAGGCACCCCTATGTGGTTTTGTACTTGGCAGCACACTGACTGTAAGCATATCAACATGTTTTACTGTGAATCACTGTAACAAAGTTGCTTGTATTTTACAGGAGGCAATACATACTGTAGTCCTTATGCTAAATAAACCCAGCTACAAGTCTTAAGAGCACATTAGTATGAAACCCACATGCTGTGTTCCAGCTCTTACTGTGAAGGCTGGGGGCCTAAAGTGATTATGCCTCTTTACAGTGTATTACCCGACTTTTTAGTCAAATTCAGTTAAATTATGAGTTGATTCAAAAGCTGCCTGCTTCCAGTGGCACAGCTGATAGCTACCAAGTCAGCTATCACTCCATTTTGCATTTAGCAGCATGTGCAGTCAACAAGAAAGTCCCAATAAAAAAACACTTTGTGCTTTTATGAAGAAAAAGGTTTGAATTGCCACTGATAGTGGTGCACATCTGCAACAGAGGGGCTTGCATTGCTCTTTCTATTACCCTCTGTACAGTGCAGTACTATGTACAGTATGAAATGAAACAGCGGCAGCTGTATTAACTTTGATTAATAAAGTGTTAGTCTCCTTGCATTTCCGTGTGCTTCTTATGGTACAGAAAGACTGTCACACGTGCGTAGGTATGCTTGACAACCTGGGGTCAGTCTGAGAAGTGAGCAGCAGCTAAGGCAGAGTTTGGGCAATGAGCATTGCTACCTGAAGCAGGCTGGCTGTGATGGAAAGTATATACTAGGAAAGAAAACCATCTCAGTATAGAAAAATATAGGTAGCAATTCAGCAGCTTGTATAAGGAAACCTCTTTCTTGCATGTTGTCCCAAGAGTCACAGTCACGGTTACTTGGGATATAACTTTAAAATATTTTAACCATTCAATATTTTAACCATTTAACCAAAGAATCATCAGATTTAGAAAAAAACAGGAAGGATCCACTGAGATTGAGAAAGAGAAAAATCCCTGATAAAACCAGCATTTCCAGGGGAAGTGGTAGATTAAATTACTTGCTCCAGAATCTTTCCCTCCTCTGTCATCCTGCCTCAAAAAAAATAACAAAAGCAACAAAAATCACTTGGTGAGTGGAACACTAATAAATGAAGACAGAGCCACAAGGCTTCTTTAACTATACATCAAGGAACATAATTTGCAAGGTGAGTTGGAATAATTTGTATTACACTAACATTCATTACAGGTCAAGGTCTTAGGGAAATTTCTCTTTAGGGAATACATAGGACTTGTCTACATTTGTCCCTTTATATTTTTTCCACTGTAACTCAGTACTCCAGATTTCCATAGTCAGAGGCTTTAGTAGTGTCATTCAATAGTCCAAGGCCTTACCAATGCCCAATTAAACAATAAAAAAGATCATGCAGAACCGAAGCATGGATTTACACATCATGAGATGCACATCTGGGAAGGAAAGCTGGCATGCTCTATTCATTCATGACTTGTGTGGGTAGAGTTTAACCGGGGATTCAGGCTGATGCAAAAGCAAAGACTTTTGCTGTGGAAGGTTCTCATTCCTACTGCTATAGCTCTCCTCTGCAACTGAAGTTTCATAGGAATCTCTCTAAACAAAAGCTTTCCACTCAAACAGTCCTTTAGGCTACAGACTGAGAGTAAAAGTTCATTTTAGGCACTTACGGAAGTGCCTGAAGCAGCAGCCTCGTCAAAAGATCTGAATCAGCACTGGGGATATGTAGTCCTCTCTGGGGTTTATTTTTTAACTAAGGGAGCCTGGAATGAGCTAGATCCCTAACTCAGGTGTCACATTTAAAGGCCAGTGTTAGATGAATTGGAATGTTATTCTTCAATTGCACAGAAGCACTAGTATCTACCAGCCTTAATGTTATTTGTCCTTTGCACATCTCATTCAAAGTAAGTAGGGACCAAGGAATATAAGGCAGCACAAAGAATCCAGATCCAGAGAAGCCAGCTTGTTCTTGGTCCAGGTCAGTCTGAAACAATAGAACAGCAGCAAATACAAAGTTCTTGGCAGTTCATGCCTGACCGTGAAATAGTCCTGTTCCATACAATTATTGATCTTTTTGCTTAGATAACAAGACTAGGAAGTTAAAACAAGAGGAAAGGAACAGATACTTTTCCTAACAAAGCTATGGCATTTCATATCCCTCTTTTGGGTTTGCAACAGGCTGAAATCTGGAGCAGATAATCCTAAACCTACAGAGATTTCATTGCCTCTGTATAATCAGAAATTAAACAACAAAGTGACAAATGTGAGTTCAAAGACTGTGACACCAATCTCTGCTCTCATGTCGGTCACTGACATTAACCCCTAACCTGACGAGTTGACTCTGACCCAGGTATCGGAGTTTCACCATTTTCACATTCATTACTCACCATTTTCATTTCTACCAGTAGTTGCCACAATAGTACATGGCCCAGTTTCTTCTGTGTTAATAGTTAATTTTATGCAAGATTTGACAGTCAATTTAGTATCTATCCAAAAGGTGACAGGAATGCCAAAAACAGACAAAAAATAAGGAAAAGAAAGCACCCAAGTACAATGCGTTCTGGGATGGTGGAACTGTGGTACCCCATAGGCACAAAGAGTGCAACCACCAGAAATCAGACAGAGCTGAAGGCATGGAACTAGAATCCGTGACAGTGGATGAACATCACCCCTGTCAACAAAAATACACTTCAAATAATCTATTGCTTAAACTGAAAATGCTTAACTCTAGATTTACGCATTCACCCATTTACCACTTCCTCTGTGGCATTTTAACGTTCCCATTTCAGCATTACTAACGCTCTCAGTGTTCTCAACATAGCAGTGATCGTATAAAAAACAGGAAAGTGAAGACCTTTTTCGATCCAAAACTTGTACTTCACTGAATCAATTCAGCTCTGTGCATGTTCTGTCTTGTCCTGTAACATTATAGAGTGTAAGTCCTTAGGACAGGATTCCTTGTTTTGTAGCTGTCAGTCACTATGTAAAATCATACACCATAAATAAAGGTAAATTTCTACACCACAAATAGAGTCAAGGAGATTTTTGCCTGTGCTGCCAAACTGAAAATGTTCTGAGTTTGGCCTATTGATTATTAAGAATAAAACTAGATCTTCCTCCCTTTTTGCTCAGTGTTTTTCTTTGTCATTTTCCAGCATCTCATGTCTTCAAAATACTCCCTAGAAATCACTACAGCTATTAAGACTGCTATTAGCCCTGCCAAAAGTGTGGTGAAGAAACTGCAGGACCATAATTATCAGGGGATGTTTCGGCCCCATCCAACAGGGTTTCTCCTTTCCCTTCGCCCATGGCAACTAATTTAGAAGCAAATGTCACTTGAACAGAAATAAAGTTCTGCCATAACTGAGGCACAGGAGGCCCATCAGGGTAATTAGAGCACATTTGCTATACTTTATAAATATTAATTCGTTATCCCTGTAGCCCTTCTGACATGAGTTGAACAGTCTTGAGCAGCACTGAAGTCAGCTAGGGCACATAAACACATGTAACGCTGTCAAGCTGCAGTTTAAGCTTCTCCTTCATTAGGTACCCTTTTTAATGATTGCAGTTTTGTAGCCATTCTTAATTATGGTGGTAATTTTATTCCTACATTCATTGTGGGTGCAGAAAACAGGGCTGCAAACTGTAATAATTACCTGGCTCAAGTGAATGACCTGGAACATAAGTACCTCCCAGCCATCACCTAGAGATTAGAACATTTAAAAACCCAAGGCCATTCATTTCCAAAACCGGACAGTTAATTTTACAGGTCTCAGTCATGCAAGTAAAGTGGTCAGCAAGTATAATAACCTTTAGCATTCTGTAAAAGATAACAATCTAATTTAAATGGTGCCTATCACAGGAACAAAGTTGTGTGGACTAGCCTAGATTTCTACAGTTAATTTCATAGAGACATAAGGTTTTAACAAAGTTGCTGAATGAGACATGAAAGTAATGCTCTTGCTTTCATCAGTGGTGCACCTCATGTCACAAAGAAGCCGAGTGATATCATTCATAACTTTCACAGTGGTAGTTCACAGGTCAACCGAGGAAAAGACGACACATTTCACTCAAAAGCACTTTTGGGGAAATCAAGCAACAACATCCTCAAGCAAACCAGATCCAACACTAAGGACTTGCAGGTGTCTTTAACTTTAGAGAGGACTGTTTCTGGGGACAACCTGAGTAGGAAAAGCTAAGAATGCAAAGTATCGCATGCACAGGAAGTGCATGAAGTTATCTTCACAGTTTTTTAGGTGAAAGCAGAGAGCACAAATTCAACATGGGAATCACAGGATGAAAACGAACATAACTTGAACATTAGAACAGGAAAGAAAAATTAGCAACAACAGCATAAGGTGAGCTTGGCAACCTCATCCCACCACAGAGGCTGCTGTAAGCCCTGAAACTGTGTTAGTCAAACTCTCCTCTTGGTGGGACCTGTGTAAACCTGCATGTGCAGTTTTTCCCTACTGACTCTTTGCTCTTCCACTGACAGCAGAAACTCCGACCCGCACCTAAAGTACTTCAAGCACCTGCACAGGACCAAAGGCATATTTAGTTTTGTAGTGTACTACGACGCAAAGCCAAAGAGAAAGTTTTCCCTGTGAATCAAAACTTGTCATTATTTGCTGTATTTGAATATGGCTGCTTTTCTAACTATAAAAGCTATAGTACTCGAGATGCACTACTAGCCCCAGAGAATGCGTTGCTAGAAGAGTCAAAAGTTACTGAGAACAATATAAATCCAGGCTGTGTCAGTGTTTGGGTAAGAAAACCGGTTTTCATCAATGCAGAGTGGAGAATGTGCCTGATTCAAGGATCTTACATTGCCATCTACGGGCTGCTCCTGGCAGTCCTCGTCTGAGTGCCAGACCCTTGTCCTGAAGCATCCATCCCCACCAGTCTCTTTAAAAATACGTATAAAATATTATGAGAAATGATGTTTAACATGTAAAGAAAAATACCCAATCCACTGCACTGCTTGGCTTCTGCATGCGCGGCCTCTCATTTGCCAGAGAAGGCTGTTAGATCTGCCCGGAAACAAGGATGAAGATCCCACCAACATAGTTTCTGGTGAGTGTGAAGCACATACTGACACTCCATAAATGTCCATAAATCTATTTACACAGCATTTATTTGGCTGGAATTTATGTAAGTAACATTTTTCAGAAGCCTATCTGAGTAAAATTAACAAGCCTCAAGGTTAAAAATGCAAAGACCTCCATCGCTTGTGTAAGAGCAGTTGGGTAAGTAAGCAGTTAGGATTTTATTTATAAAAGAAGTTACAAGAGCTGCTTCAAAAGAAAGAAAACTCATTCAGTTAGTTGTATCTGTGCAACTTCTCAGTGTCCAAGGAGTTCAGAAGTGCCTTACCCAAAACCCTCACTACCACTTTGCCAGCCCCAGTCCCCCTGCTGCTGACAGAGCAGGAAATTTATCTTGTTTAAAGGGAAGAATAGAAGATTCACTGAGCCAGTTCACTGACAGTCACACAAATACATGGATCAGTCCAAGGCAAAGGGCAGTGAGGTGTCAAGGAAAACTTCACTCAGTGAGGCATCTACTACCACCCAGCTGACAGGGCTCCAGCAGGGATGCAGTTTCCCCAGCCATCCTAGGCACCAGTATGAAGCTGGGATCAAACATCATGCAAAGGAGAGATCTCTTTCTAATGACCTGGTGAGGTTCAGGTTCTAAATTTGCTTCCCTGTTGTCTGAGGTTTAGGAAAAAAAAAAACCAAACCAAACACATCTATTTCCAAAAGTGCACTAGAAGCCTTAAGGGGGGAACAGTGCGGTAGCTTCTTACAGCTCAGATGTTAAAAACTACCACATTAAACTTTTGTGGCAATTCATGTAGTAGTAGGGATGCACACACATTTAGCATACTGTCCATTAGCTGGAAATAGACCAAGCTACTATAAGTTCTGCATGTGATCCTTGCTCTGAACTTGTATCAGTAGAATTACTTAAGTAGCTTTGTCACTCCCTCTACTTCTGCAACCTGAGAGCTCGCTGGACAGAGAAGAAACAGGTAAAGAACAAAACCAGGTAGACATGAAGAACAGGCAGGGTGCAGCCACAATAAATAAGAAGTGTTCCTGTTACAGCACAGCTATCTCATCTTGCCAGCTCAGCTGGACTCCTGAGGCATTGCAACAGTAGTGAATCATAGGGAGAGAGGAAAAGAGAGTAAGGTGCCCGGCAGAGTGGGAGTCTGTCAATGTTGTGAGCAATGCCTGAACAAGAGCTTTTGCAATGTCACCACAGGTGTGGGAGAAAGGCTGACAGCCTCTTCCTGTCATCCACTCATTGGTAGACAAAAGAAAACTGAAAACAGCAGCAGTGTCACACAACTAGTCACTCTAGGACACCATCTCCAGGGAGAAAGCATTAGTTCCTCCAGTATGTATCAATTCAAGTTATCCAGCTGAATAATGGAAGAAGGAATGGATTTATTCCTTCATGTATTCCCCGAACTCCAATGAGTTCCAGCTCCTTGGACCAGCTGATTATTCCTTTGACCTAAAACTAATAATGGGAAGACTAAAAGAAAGCTGGTTTAGAGTGCTGGCAATCTTGTCTTGCCCTAGGACAAGTCACAGAACTTCCTCCTTTTGTTCAAGTTTAGCTACTGCTGGAATATCGAACATTCAGCAGCATCAAGGTATTATAAATCAGTCTCCATCAACATCTATGTTTTGAGTGCAAAAAGTTAAAACCTGTGCTATTCTCAGCAATTGTTACATTATGTTAGTAGAATAATGGTGCTTCTTTTTTTCTTCAAAGAACTGCACATCACTGCTACCACTGATTTTAATCACAGTACAAAGGGAAAGGAAATAAAGAAGGAAACCTAAGAACCTCAAATATGATCAGTGTTGAAAAAGGCCAACAAGATGAGAACATTAAGTTTGTCACTATGAAAACTGAAGAACTGGTTGAGGTAACTGCATCCAAGAAACAATTACAAGAAATTTCATCTCAGAATTGGTGCTTTGACTTAACTCTAATACAGCATTAAAGATGCTTTAACTGAGGAGATTAGCACGAATCAGGGCAGCAGATAAGGAGTCCCCAGAAGAACTTTGGGCAGAAAGCACAGGAAAGGGATTAAATTATTGTTTTTAAAGTGTTGATCAGTGAATCAAGAAAGAGTGATTGAAAGAGGAGCAGCAGGGTTCTGAGTGTTGAAGAACATCTTGGTGCTCTCATCTGAAAGGCAGGAAAACCAGAAAGGCATTAACAATACAAATTCAGTTTTAATAAATTGAAGGTGAAAAATCACCTACAGAACACTTCAACGAGTTCCAACCATTGTTACAGCTGCTACTTCCCACTGCTACAGTAACAAAACAGAAACTTGAGAGCAGAGCTTCAAAATGATATTTGGAACTGACAATATGCATGTCCTGGAAGTTATTTCTATAAATTCTGCCTTAAGGTAGAAGTCTTATGGTTCCATCACACAGCATCTTGAACATACCTGTGCTCTGGATGTGTACAACCATACATTATATGTACATATAAATATATCTATAAAAAGACAAGTTTAAGCACTTTGGTTTTTTTAAGGATTTCAAACCCTCACATTGTGAAGTCTGAAATCTGTTTCACAAAATAAGAACTTCCTTTCCCTGTTCATGAGCAGGTGAATGCCCATTTGTACAAGAGACTTCATTTCCCAGTCAAATATATAAGGAGCCATTTTAAATTTGGAAATACCCTTTCTCTGCAAGCAGAGATTTGGTCTCCTAGCAACAGCAGGAGCACCTTGTGAATGAAACTACGGCTTATTTGCACAGAAGGGCCTCGTGCCACGGGCACGGAGAAGCCATAAGAACATAAAGCTGCCACCTCTTCCCTGCGTGACAGATGGTGCTGGGTCAGGTCAGCAAAGCCTGCAGTGAACACGCACATCAGGAAGGACGGTAGCTGAAGCCATGCACCTTGTGTTGCGGTCTGGATTCTCCTATCTAAGTGGTCCTTTCCAGACCTTGGTCCTGGATACAGCTGTAGCCCAATTTTAGCTTTCAAAAGACAGTATAATTTTAAGTTGCCCTGATGCAGAGTAGGAATAACTTCCTTTCTGACTGGAAAACTGGTACCTCCATAGGACT